GCTCCGTCCTTTCGCTCTAAAACACCAAATGTGTTTCATTTTGAAGTTTTTGTGGGAAAGATACCGTTCACAGGGGGAGCAGCAGCTCTTGGTACCGTGTGCTGGGATTTGGCAAATAAGTATGTCATCAGCAATTCATTTATTTTAGACGATCCAGACCTGAAAGATATTGACCCTACGGTATTAAAACATTGCCATGCTGCGGCTGCAACATGTATTCTGGAGGCAGGAAAGCAGAAAGCCGACATATCTGCTATAAGGTACTAATACTTCGAAGTTACCCCATGTTTCTAGCGGTTGTTATTTTAAAGAGTACTGCTGAGTTAATGTTAACAGAAAACTAATAAATACTTTTTCCCCGTAGCACATGTCTAGAAGACTGTAAACTGGATAAAGAGAGAATAGAACAATTTTGCACCGAATATCAGGTTTTTAAACCAACTTTAACATATTTACGTTTTCTTTCTTTCACAGGAATTTACTGAACCTAGCAAATTTTTTTTCTTTTTTTTTTCTTTTTTTCTCCAGAAAAACAAGGATGCGTTGGAAATCCTATTGGGAAGGTAGGTCAATCAGTCAGCACAGATACATAGTTTCAATTACAGCTACTTTGAAACTGTCCTGGAAAACACCTATGCATACTTTACCTGATTAAAGAAAGAAATATTGTTCCATTTAAAAAAAAATAAATTGTACATTTTTAAAAAACTTTAGAAAACAGCTGTTGGAACTTTTCTGCCTCCTTTCGGAATTCTACTCTTAAGAAACTTTTTGAACTTCTCAAGAAGCATTACAAGGATCATGAAAAAGTTCTTTACTGATGGACAGCTTCAGAAAATGACGTAGGGAACTTGTAACTGTTGTGTCTTTCAGCATAGGCAGATCTCCCCTCCATATAACTGATGTGTCTTGGCGCTTGGAATATCAGATCAAGGTAATTTTAACACATCGGGGTATTCCTTTAGTCTGTTTCAGTGCTGAGACCTGACTTTTTCCTATGCTCTTTGTTTTTAATTTAGAGCAATCAACTTCATAAAACTTACCAGCCTTCCTACTTGGTGACCTTAAATGTAGAGGTACTGTACTCCCAGCACCCTCAGAGGAAAAAATGCGATTTCACGATATGTTTTTCAGTAAAACGGGCATTGTTGGTTTTTTTTTTCCCTTCAGAACAGTGATTCAGGATCACACCCAGATGTTAGTTTTAGTTGCACGATGGAGCAATTACAGGTACTTCTTTCCTTCATCATTGTTTCTATGCTTGGCTCCAGTTGTGGATGTAAATGTTTTTAAGAACTTGCCAATCAAAATTAAATCATATATACTATTATAAAAAAAAAAAAATTCCAGGACTGGGAGGGTAGGGGAGAATCTTCTATAAAAATTATCTGAGTGTAGTTTTCCTGTCTTCTCAAATAAAGTTGCAAAGTAACTGATTTTAGTTGCATGGGGAGTGTTTTATATACGTGCATAAATATTTTGTCTGTTTTCATAACTGTAAAATATATATATATATGGGAGGAAATACATCATTTTTCTGAAACTCTGATTTTCCATGCTTTAAAGAAATGATTAAAGAAGCTGGTTCAATGATTTAAATGTGTCATGATTAAAAATAGAGAACGAACTGAAGGCTCTTCAGTGGTGTTAATGACATGTAAGAAATGTAGTGAAACAAATGTTGATCTTTGTTTAGCGATTTAAATGTGTAACTGAACAATAGAGGTATTGTAATGCTTGGAAGTGACCAAACTGTGGAGGATTGGGAAGAGGGGTTGGGGGGAGTAAAAAACCAAGATATTAAAACTTCAGGTTTTTACCTCTCCTTTCGTAATGCGTGTCTCAAAAGTTGTCCTTTTCTTTGGCTGGAGAACGGTCCTAGTACGAAATTGTACTTAAAATATTTCAGTATTTTAGAAATGTATATGGTACTTCAAAGCCTAGAGCAAATGTCAGCGTTAGCCATCGTAACGATACCAGTAAAATGTACCTGTTAAGAGTAGTGATCTATTTTAGTACATAATATATGTTAAAAGGCATTTTCCTTCGGTTCCTACTTTTCTTACTATGTTGAAAAATGGGAAGCTATTTAATTACTTGCTGGCATTGTTCATCAGTTGCAACATTTCTTTGTGGCATAAGGTGCTGGTTTCCCATGCCTCTCTGTGTAAAAAGAATATTACGTTCCACTAGCTGACCTTTTAAAAAATATGTTTATTCTAAGACAGTATTTCATCTCTTAGGATTTAGTTGGAAAACTAAAAGACGCTGCAAAAAGTCTAGAAAGAGCGACTCAGATGTGATTGAAGGAAGGTGTCAGCCTGCTGAGCTGAAGTGCTCTCATTCCTAAGAGTGTCTTCTAAATGACAAATGTCTTTCATCTCTGATGCAAACTGGTTGGTTTTTTTTTTTTTTAAGTCCTTGGATGCGAATTAAATGTTTTTTATGACCGCACTTGGTCATGTCATTTTTTTTTTAAACTCTTGTTAAATATTTGCTTAACTGCCGTGTCTTCAAAGCGTTCCTTCTATTTAATTTTGTGTATTTTTACAATTGTCACTGATTATTTTTCTCTGGGATCTAATAAAGTTTATTAGTTCTGCAATTTCTGTGGGTGAATTAGCTGTACCGAAAAGTACGATGCTAAACGTTAGACCAGCTCTATGAGGCGAAAATCCCTTCCTCCCGTGCCGCTGCTGCGCCGCGTTCGCTAAATTGCCCATCGCTCTTTGTTATTTCGCTCCAACTGATCTTACATCTTCTGTAAGAGCAAAGGTTGGTCCCCGGCGCGGGAGGCAAGAAGGACTTCAATTTTATGGAGCCGGGGCGCCTCACGGAAAGCCCCGAGTCCGCGGGGCTGAGCGGAGCCGGGTGTCGGCTCCGGCTCGACGGCGTCTTCCCCCCTCGCGGTGCCG